CCTATATATAATAGATTTCCCAAAGTCTGCCCACCATCTACAAGGCACAAGTCAGAAGTGTGATGCAATACTCTCTGCTTGCCTAGATGAATGCAGCTCCAACAACTGAGGCGGCACGGTGGTTCAGTGGTGAGCACTGCTGCCTCACAGCGCCAGGGACCCAGGTTCAATACCACCCTCGGGCACCTGTCTGTGTGGAGTTTGCACATTCTCCCCATGTCTGCATGGGTTTCCTCCGGGTGCTCCGGTTTCCTCCCACAGTCCAAAGATGTGCAGGCTAGGTGGATTGGTCATACTAAATTGCCCATAGTGTTCAGGGATGTACAGATTAGGTGGATGGGTCTGGGTGGGATGCTCTGAGGGTCAGTGTGGACTTGTTGGGTCGAAGGGCCTGTTTCCACACTGTAGGGATTCTATGATTCTATGAGTCATTGGAACAGGGAGAAGAATTGAGGAACTAGATCTCTGGAAAACCATCTAATTTGTTTGTATTTAAAATTTAATGCAATTGAAGTAATACTGTTTGAATTCAAGGGACCAGGGCCTTAGCAGGGGTATACAAACCCAGAACATTGCAGTACACTGTAGTTACTTAATTGAGAAAGCTAGTTTGAACATTTTTTGCCTGCAACAGACTCAGCAAACTCTTCGAATATAGTATCGCAGTGTGACTTAGTAGTCAAAGTCAGAAATGCACTGTCTTGAAGTATGCAGGAGGCAGGTTCAGTCTAGGCATTCAGAAGGCATTAGATTTTTATTACAATAGAAAGCGTGCATGATTATGGGGGAAAATAAAACAGAAGAATGGGACTAGGTGACTTGCTTATTCAGAGAGTTGGTGAAGACATGATGTGCTGAATGGTGCCCTCTGCACTGTGACAATATGATTGCGGGGTGGGGCGGGACCTCAAATATCAACAGCAATTTTCTGATACTGAAACACATGCACTGATAAGCACGTTAAAAATGCATTCACATAAATATGCATGGTAGAGGTCTCCAGAAACATCATTTATTTAAGTTTTTCATCCTTCTGGAAGGATACATGGGAAAGGTCAATATTCTGTATTTCATAGTTTAACTTTTTTTTCAAAATCACCACCTGAGCCATCAAATATCTCATACTGTGAATTACTAAAATGCTAGCTTGATTACCAAATGGCAGAATTGTAAAATCCATAATCAGTTGTTTTTATGCACAAAATTCCTCTACCATCCACAACTGGCTCAGTCCTCTCTCAACAGTAACAAAAAACTTCATTTCAACTGCATCAGAAATGGTATTTTGTTTCAGTAACAATTCAAAATGCAGTTGAAATTCTATTCAGAGGCATGTAAAATAATCAGGTAAATTTACAGCACAAAAAGCTATTTTGGTCCACTGTTGAAATCTTTGTTCGAATAATCCCAATGTCCTGTTCCTTCCTTAAAACCCTGTGAATATTTGTCAACTTTAACCTAAAAAATGAATCATGTCTGCTATAACTAAATTAGACTCTGCTTTGTTAACAAGGTTGCGAAATAATAATGGGGAACCTGGAAATGATAGGAGTTGAATAAATACTTTGCATCAGTCTTCTCAAGAGAAGGCACAAGTAGTATTCCAAAATTACTAAATATTCAAGGGGCAAAAAGAAAAGAAGAAATAAATAATGACCATCTCTGGAGAAAAAAACGCTAGGGAAAATAACGAGATTAAAGACTGATAATCCCTTGGAGTTGATGGGATACATCCTCGGATATTAAAGGAATATCCACAGGGATAGTGGATGTGCCACTGGTAATATTGCAAAAATCCTTAGATTCTGAAAAAGTGGCAGCTTCCAAACCTGCTGGGAACGTGACATCTATTTAAAAAGAGGAAGGAAACAAAAAACGGATAACTATAAAGCAGTTGCTTAAAGTCTGTCATTGGGAAAATGTTTGAATCTATTATATAAAGCACTTAGAATTATATAATATTATAAAGCAGACTAGGCAATGACTCATGAAGGGGAAATCATGCCTGACAATTTTACTAGAATTCCTTCAGGAGGTAACAAGCAGGATAGATAAAGGGGAAAACAACAGATATAAAATATTTAGATTTTCGAAAGTGTTTCATAAGGTACTACACATTAGGCTGCTTAATAAGACAAGATCCCAGAGTGCTGGAGAAAGACAACCCTCTGTCTATACTAATATGTGAACTAACAGAAGACAGAGCTGGAATGGGGGCAGGGGGTCATTTTCAGGTTGGCAACCTTTACTAGTGGAGTGCCACAGGACTCAGTGGCACAATTACTTACAATATGTATTATATGACTTGGTACTCCATCCCATTAGTCCAAAATGAATCACCTAATACTAATCTGAACTAATTCCATTTGCCACTATTCTGCCTATCTGACTATCAGTCTAAATTATCCTGTAATTTAAGGCTTGTTGACCACACCAATTTACATGTCATCTTTGCCTTACTGATCAAAACTCCCAAATTTGTGTCTAGATGATTAATGTACAACACAAACAGCAAAGACACAGCACCAAACCCTGTCGTTCACAAGCTCCGAGCCACAAAAATAACCTCATCCATCAGCCAATTTTGGATCCAGTTTGCCAATTTGCCCTGGCTTTCATGGGCTCTAACCTTCTTGACCAGTCTTCCATTCAACACCTTGTTAAAAGCCTAACTGAAATCCACGTGGACTACTTCAACTGCACTACCCTCATCTACGCACTTGGTCACTTCTTTTTAATCAAACATGTCAGACATGATACCTCTCTGACAAAGCCATACTGGCTACCCTTGATTAATCCAAAGGGAGATTAATTCGGTGTCGCAGAACTTTTTCCCCCCCAAATGTTTCCCAACCACTGATGATACAACTCACTAAAGTATACTTCCCTGGTTTAACCTGACCAGATCTGTTGGCAAGAAATTATTAAAGTGTATCATTAAGGAAACAACTTAAAAATATTCGGGCAATCCAACAGAAACTGCATGAATATGCAGCAGGTAGGTCACATCCAACAAATCTATCATTTTGTTTTTGAAAGAGATGGCTAAGTATTGAACAGAGGAATGTCTACATGTATTTCTCGACAAAATGATAAAATTCCACATAAGAGCCTACTAAAGTTGGCCAGTGAGTGATCCCTCTAGTGTTTTATCTGTGTGTACTCTATTGCTTTTTAAGATTAATGCATGACCATGCATCTTAAAGAAAATGGTGCTTGTCCATGACATGTTTGTTTACTGCGCGGCATGTTGCCAATTGCTGCTCACTACACAATTTAAAAGGGAACACTGGTTGAAGTCCATGACATTCAAGGCAAGTTATCAACTTGGCACAGTAGGAATAACAGGTACTCTGTGTGGCAGGAGATGATTAGTTGTGTTCCACAGGGATGAGAGACAGGGTTTCAATTATTCACCATGATTATTTGAAAGTTTGTTGATACAAATACATATTAAAGTGCACATTAAAAATTGCCAATGACAAAAGTACAGGTGAAAACTATAAACAGTAGAAAGGGAAGTATATTATGAAGCTAAAATAAGCGAATAAACAGAAACAAATCCCCAGAACTTAGAAAATATTCAGCCGAGTTGATGAAGCAGAGAAAGAAAGAAACCTTTTCTCCTGGTTAAGGAGTCTAGGTCTACGGCCATAGGCTAAAAATTTGTGCCAGCCTTTTCAGCAGTAAAGTCAGGAAATACTTCTACATTAAAAGGGTGGTAGAAGCTTGGAACACACTCTTGAACCAGGATGAACTTCAATTTGTGCATTTGTTAATTTTAATTTGAGATTGATAATCATTTATTATTTGATTTGAGGGAAAAAAAACCCTGTATAGTAAAACCAGTGATCAGTCATTTTCTCACAGGATTGCCAAATAGGCTCAAGGGACTAAATGGCCTAAGCTTGTTCCTTTATTCCCAGCTTTTCCCCCCAAGTAGGTCTGGCCTTGTTCCTGTATACAATATTGTCTATGTTGCTACATAAAGTTGAACTAAATGGCATAGTATGGTAATTTTTACTGCAGTGTGATACTACTTCAAATTTACAGTCTTATCCTAAATATGAGGAACAACTTTGGAACAAACAAAGAGCAAGAACAATGAATAGGTGGATGGAATGCAAAATAACAAAGAAAGAATGAATTTTGATTTTGACCATTACTATGCTTCTGTGATACCAGGACTGG